GGAGAATATTCCCATGCCTGTTTATTTCGAGCAGATAGCTGTTGCCGATATGACTTAGCACCTAGTAGTACAAAATGGATCAGATGGCATGGCCTAGAGGGTTCGGTGTCTGTCCTTTCTTTTTTCGGCGGGTGAGACGGTTGGGTGACTGTCGGCTAGGCCTGCCTCATCGGAAAACTTGACATTATTGATCTTTTAGAGATCACGATAAGCTTGGTTTACGTAGCTATGAATGTATCCTTCTTTTCGGATATTCAGTTTGCATGGGCTGCTTTTCTGCATTTGCTTCGAATCTAGGAAGAGCCAACACCGCGCGGCTTCCCTCGCCGGCCGCCTGACACCGCACCCGATCCAGACCCAACCGGCGGGCCGACACCGTACCTAGACGACGATAGACCAAGCTTCTCCCGTTCAGTATTTTTGCGCAATGGTTTTCGCTGTTGCACTGCACAGGTTGATTTTGAAACTTTGTTTTCTTGGAGAGGAAAGAAAAAACATCAGCCTGCTAAGAATGTTGTGGAAAAAATCCAGTTAGATAATCTCTAACTTGATGCAATAAATGCGAGTACCTCATATTTCCTTCTCTAGATCGATAAAAACTATGCAAAAGAAATCGTACGTCCTATGCAAATTGCTATAGCCTCGCTTCGTCGTCGGAGATGTCCACGACATCGGCGTCGGGTGCCGGTTAGATGGGCGCGTAGCAGGGCTCCGGCTCTTCCTCCCGCAGATCCGCGTCCCCAGCGTCCCTCACGTCCACCTCGTCCTCCTCCTCCTGCTCCATGCCCTTCCCGTCTTACTCCAAGGCCTCCTCCAGATCAACCGCGTCACAAGGTAGCCCCGCGACGATCCGGGAATCGCGTCTTGCCCCGATCTGGCCAATGAGTTGCGGCCGACACTCCGCCATTAGATATGGGTAGCTCCTTACCCGGCGGCGTGGCGGCATGTCTACTGGTGGTGGCGGACGGCGTGTGAAAAGTGGTGGTGGCGGCGGAGGGGAGGGGGAAAATGATGATGGATAAGGTTTCGGTGCTGGCGGTCCGCTTAAATAGCCGGGCTAGGGCACTACGTGGGGAGCGGCGCCACACGATGCCGGAGGAGACGGACTTCGGACCGCTGGGTTTCGGAGTGTTTTACCGTGGGACCCATCGTCAGTCCGATGTGGCGGACCCGCCCGGACCTCCCCATATCCGCCCCATATTTGGGTTGGATAAAAAGGGTGTCGATTAGTCCGGGTGTTTGAGGCCCGTTTGAGGCGCTCGTCTGAGTCATTTTCTTGCCGGGTCACTGACTGGACCATCCGACCGGACGTTTGAAACGGGTTTGGAGTGCCCGGCCTAGATGCTCTTAGGTCCATCAATCAAATCCACCAATAATCACAGGTAGGGCCAACTTCCTTGACTGTGAACGTACGTGGAGGATGTCCCGTTTATGTCCAGGTTTTCTCGCTACTACATTGACATGTCCTCCACCAGGCTAGCTAGCAATCTATGGCGCGCGCACTAGAAAGATGCTGGGAAGTGTTCCAAAAAAAAAAAGCTGGGAATATTTACATACTTTTCAGAAGAAACCTGCTCGCTTTTGAGCCGCCCATCATCTGATGTGATCTGTGTTTAGTTTAATTTGCACGCACTTTGGACGGCGACGTACGGCCCGACACCACCTTAATTAAATTAAACTAAATACAATGATATTTGACCTGTTTAATTCAGCGTGAATTGATTTGAATAATGTCTCCATCGTTTTCGCGCTGAGCCTTGACACTTGTCTCTTTCCTTCTCTGCAGGAGCACTAGCGTTTAGCTTGTACCGACAGATAGATGACGCATTCGACCTGCCAAGCCATGATCCCGAATCACGCCACTTCTTTTCTTTGAACGTTTGAATCAGATTTTAAAATTCATGAAGGCTCTGTTTGAGCAGCATGCAGCATGTCAACTACTAGTTTGCTACAGCGGCTGCCAGTCAGACAGAATATTTCCATTCTTCGTCTTCAAATAGTGTTCTAGTACTATTTTTTTTTCACCCGCAAAAAATAGTACTACTAGTATAAGTAGGAGAATATATTCCGTTGCGTGCATGTTTATTTCGAGCAGCTGGATAGAGTACGTCAAGCCAGGCCGATGACATAAAGCTGTTGCCGATATGACCTAGCAGGTACGTACAAATTGGATCAAATGCCCTGGCAAGTTCCTTTCAACTGTCGGCTAGCCCTAACCGGAAACGAGGCTCGAAAAGTTGATGTCCCGGCTTCCATCGGATCAGTGAAGATAACTATCGGCTGTGCCGAACTTTTGGCACTGTATTTTTTGTGATGAGAATGAGCAAACTACGTACTATAGTTTATATGTGGTAGCTATGATTACTGTCCTTTTGGATGTGCTGTTTGCATCGGTTGGTTTTGGTGCATTTCCTTGGAATATATCCAAGATCAAGGAAGAAGAGCCAAAACCGCATGCATGCATGCATGCATGGACGGGTCAACTAACAAAAAAGAGCCCGGGACTGGTGATAGATGGCCCCCTGGGGTCCGTAGGCTCAGTATTTTGCATAATGGTTTCACTGTTGCACTGCAAATATGTTGAAACGTTTACCTTCTTCGAGAGAGAATAAATATTATCCCTTGATTTGTTTATTTTCTGCGGTGGCTTGTTTTGAAAAGTTGACGACAACTCGAGAAAGATCATAGTAAAGAAAAACTCCGAAGTACGACTCGAGAAAGATCAATTCTAACCTTGTATAGGGAAATATGTTGGAGCGCCATATTGAACGGAAAAGGGAAATAATGCATTGTAGGGCAACTATAACGCCGGATCACCCAATCACTTATAAATGTCCGGACCGGACAATTCGGACACTTTTGGCCATCCAACAGAAGTCACCAAAGTGGACCTGTCCGAATGTCCGAAATCGCACAAACCGAGATCAAAC